CTTTTATAGTCTGATACTTGTACCAATTTATAAAAATACAGATATAGTTTCTTGGAGTTGGTCACAGTCTATATTTTGGCTTGGATTCAGGCAGCAGAGGTTGACTATGACAGCTGGCAGGAAACTGAGGGCAGAATACATCCTCCCCCTTCAGTCACCACATCTCAGTTGCCATAGCGATTAATCCGCAATTGAATGCTGTCTTTGTACATTTCTTTTCAGAAAACTTTAAGTAAACTTAAGTTGAAAACATGCAGTTGATTGAAAAAAGGAGGCACCACATCACAAACAGGTATAGTTGAGTTTTGTGACATACTTCCGTATGTCAAAAGAACAAATTAACTCTAATCAAAGTATTAGCAGTTCCTTCAAATACTTAAAACATTTCTTTTTGGTCTGAGCTTAAAGCTAAGAGCACAGTGTTTCCCTCCAGTCATCGTATCTTTTAAAATGAGCAGTTCTCAAAAACCCAAGTATGATTTAAGGCAAAATGTATTTTTATTTTGCATGTTATTTTGCATTGTCCACACTATCAAATAACAAAGGTATGATTAGAAATTTATTTTAGGAGAAATAGGTTTTAGTTTAGGACATCTATAAAATATTCTACAAGTTGAAATCAATTCATAAAAGTATAAGTTATAGAAAACATGGAAAAGATAATGTATCTCTGGCCTTTCCTAACTAAGTAGGTGAATTTGAAAAGTAGGTTCATAGTTTTTATCATTTTGATTATCAATAATTACATGGAAAAGAATGAGAGCTCTGGAAGACCACAGGGTTTACCTAGCACTGTGGTGGCAGTGTCTTCTTTCGGTAGGTTTCCACCTGGTATACATATTCCTCTGCAACTTAGTGAAAGGCTCAGACTTGACTACAGCATTGCTCAGAAAGCACAACACCAGCATATGATGGCCACTGTTGTTCATCTGTTGGCCTCATCTAAATATATAGGATTTGATTTGTTTTCTCAGAAAGTGAGGCAGCACCTCTGAATCTGGCTATAGACACAAACATGCACCCGCACATGCCTACAAGCACACACATGATCTTTTCAAACACAAGCTCTTTAATAAAACTTTGATGACAGACATGAAGTACTCAGAAGAATTCTCAGTAATCAAAAAGATTCTGGATTTGAGCCCTAGATGAAAGATATTACACTGTAGGTGGAAGGTCTACGGTCTTTTGGAGACTTGAGAAGCAAAGGTTTGTAGGTGTGTGCTAACATATGACTGGATCTCTTTTGTTCTTGCTTCATTTCCTTTCTCCTTTCTTTATAGCATCTCCCTCCCCATAACTATTTTTAAAATTTTTCAAAATTTTAGATTCAATTATTACCACCCATCTGCAAAGTCCTTCAGTGAGTGACATAAATATCTCCAACCCTAGTCAGTGATGTGTCAGTGATTCCTCCCCTATGAGTGTTGAAGTAATATTGCCTGGATATGATGAAATCAGTGACTGGGAACGCCTTTTTTCTCAGAAATTCTGTGAGATGACTGAAATGCTGGAATGGAATTTTACTGTTTCAAGTGCTGACTTTAAGAAGTCAACCACCGAATGAGTGTTTATGTGGACTATTCTTGGCCTGCTAGCAATGGATTAAACCTCCTACTTAGTGGCTTTAAAACTTCACTGAATGTTTCACATTTACCATGACTTCAACGTTAAACAACACATTTCTTTAAATTCCCGGAAAAAGATCTACTAAGTTGGGGTATGTGTGATGAGGGGATACCTGGACTCGGAAGGGAGGCTACAAAGCCCCATGGGTAGATATTCAATTTGCTTGTCACAAATGTTCCTCACTCTGCAAATCACTTTTAAGGGCCAAGATTTCTGCTGATATTGTTCTGTCCCCCTCAAAAATGTTGAGATTGAAAAGTGTTAGAGGCAACGTGTATTTCTGTTTTTACAATTTCCTTAAGGAGGTTCCAAAGGGACTGTTTATTGTTTCTAGATCTAGGGTCTGCATTTTGGGGAGAATTATATGCCTATAAATTTCTTCTCTGAGAAATATTTAGATAAGCTAATGACCAGCGCCTAGAAAATTTCATTAACATTTACTCTACAGGGATTGCCAAATTATCTGACTTTTTACATTACAATTTGTTTGGGAAAAGGGCATGGTTGAAAAAAAAAAAACCAAACACCCTAATCAAAAGTAAACTCTGAAGATTCTGATATACTCTACATCTTAAAAAAGCAAATTTCTGGAGAGCCTAATACATTTTTGTATTAAAATATAAAATAATTATTGTATTAAATATTTGTATTAAAATATAAAATAAAATATAAAAATGTTCAACATTTCCTACAAGGTAGTCACATTGTAGAAATGCTGTCTGTAGTGTTGTCCGTAGATCAAATGAGAATCTCAAGCAGCCCACTCAGGTCATGAAAGCTTTCATGAGCTGTATTCTGGCAATGGGTCTCTGTATTACTTTGAAACATGCTAAAAGACACAGCCTTTCCAATTCCATTATTACATTTATTCTAAGGCTATTGTAAGGTAACCAACTCTTCCCTAGATCCTTTAGTGGTTTCCATTTAAAACCTCAGGTGACAAGTTCCCTTCAAATTAAATGCTAGGAAAAACTTTGCTCTTGCTAGAAAATTTGTTATATTTTTCCCCCTTAAGGACAAGGATCAGGGGCTGGGGATGTGGCTCAAGCAGTAGCGCGCTCGCCTGGCATGTGTGTGGCCCGGGTTCGATCCTCAGCACCACATACAAACAAAGATGTTGTGTCTGCCAAAAACTAAAAAATAAATAATAAAATTCTCTCTCTCTCTTTAAAAAAAAAAGGACAAGGATCAGTGTTTCTCAGCAGGGTGTTATGGCATTTGGGGCAGCACAGTTCTTTGCATATGGGATTGCTCTGCACCCACCGCCCACCCTACCCAGGACAGCTATTAGTATCTCTGGCCTGCTGACACGATTGCCAGGTGGGGCATGTAGTCACCATGACCACCCAAACTGCCCACACACATTTCCAACTGAGTAATCACTAAAGAGCCAATTTGCTTCCTTTGTTTTGTCTATAAGAAAACTTAAATTTGTCATGTTAATAAAATACCCGGGTAGAATATTCTGGCCATATCGGTATCTCAACTTTCTCTGAGGTTTGAACTTTCAGTTTAGTTTATATTTTCTCTGGTGTTGAATTTCACTTTATATTCTGTTTTTATTGTTAAGACAATTCAAATCCTTTGTTGAACCAGATGTGGTACAAATAAAAGAAGAGAGCTTGAAGTTTCAGAGGGATATTCTCCTGCAACACCAAAAAACCAAATAACCCAATCAATAAATGGACTAAGGAACTGAACAGACACATCACAGAAGAAATACAATCAATCAACAAATATATGAAAAATGTTCAACATTTCTAGCAATTAAGAGAAATGCAAATCAATACTACTCTAAGACTTCATCTCACTCCAATCAGAATGGCAATTATCAAGAATACAAGCAACAATAATGTTGGTGAGGATGTGGGGGAAAAATATATACTCATAGGTTGCTGGTGGGATTGCAAATTCGTGCAACCATTCTGAAAAGCAGTATGGCGATTCCTCAGAAAACTTGAAATGGAACCAATATTTGACCCAGCTATCCCACTCCTTGGTTTATACCCAAAGGACTTAAAATCAGCATACTTTAGTAATGATGCCACATCAATGTTTATAGCAGCTCAACTCACAATATCTGAGCTATGAAACCAACCTAGGTGGCCTTCAACAGATGAATGGATAGAGAAAATGTGGTATATATACACAATGGAATATTACTCAGTTTGAAAGAAGAATGAAACAATGGCATTTGCAGTTAAATGGATGGAGCTGATGCTAAGCGAAATAAGCCAATCCCAAAAAAACCAAAGGCCTAATGTTTTCCCTGATATGAAGATGCTAATTCACAACAAGGGGGTGGCTAGGGAAGAATGGAGGTACTTTGGATTAGGCAGAGGGGAGTGAATGGAGGGGAGGTGGTATGGGGGCAGGAAGAAGGATAGTAGAATGAATCAGACATTATTACCCTATGTACACATATGATAACATGACTGGTATGATTCTATATCATGTGCAACCAGAAGAATGAGAAGTTATACTTTTATGTATGATGTGTCAAAATGTATTCTACTGTCATGTATAACTAATTAGAACAAAAAAAGTAGTACTAAGTTAAAATATCACTGTTATATATAGCATGTACTCTTTACTCTCACTCATAAAGTAATAGTAGAACTGCACTTCAGACACTTAACTGTCAGAAATTAATAAGGAATAATACACCAAAGAAACATAATATTTTAAAAACCTTTGGTAAAAGTGACTATGAATAAACAAAAAATACCACATTTACATAATTATTTATTTCCATACAATGGCAATGCCAAGTGGAAAGAGCCTGTAGAAAGTGTTTATTACTTTTAACATTATAAAAATCCTTTTGCTAAAAACAAATTCTACATGAAGTTACCTTTTTATGAGTGTCTTCATTTTACATGAAAAATTTTTGAGGAAATCTAATCATATACTTTTTTTTTTTTTTTTTTTTTTTGGTGGTGGTGCTGGGGATTGAACCTTGGGCCTTGTGCATATGAGGCAAGCACTCTACCCACTGAGCTACATCCCCAGCCTCTATCATACACTCTTTCCAAATGAACACAGACAGTTGGTTCTGATTTAACTGCGTGATCCCCTCAGACTCTTGAATTTTTGGAAGATAGGAATTTTTTTATTTTGAGAAAAACTATTAAGCAACTCAATATTATTAGGCATTTTTAGGTTAAGATTTATCATTTAATCCAAAACATTTTCAGTGACTATAGTTCCCCAAATGGTATTTTGTTTTTTATACTTACTTGTATGTTACTTAGAGTTTTAGCAGAACTTTTGAGGAAGTGCTAGAAGATCCTATTGAGAATTTCTGTGAAAAATGAGATAAAAACTAATTTATAATACAGGGTAAGTGATATACCCCATATTTTTCTTACCTCAGAACTGCAAATAGCTATGTTAGCAGGAAGCTGGGAAAACTGCTTCAACTCAAACACGTCACGCGCTGCCCACCGGCTCATATGATTCTCAGCTTTGCTGGATCCTATCACATGCTGGTTTGAGTGAATATAAGCCACTTCCTGAACACCACCTAGGAGATAATTGATGTTCACTAGGTGATTTATCATCACAAAGGAAAACTGATCCATGCACACCTTAAAAATTATCAGAATCATGTCAAAAATAGGTTATGCTTTGCTGAATTTTTACTCCTGAAGAAAAAACATGCAATTATGTTAACCCTGAAATATTCTTAAAAAAACAAAACAAACAAAAACCCCCGAAGAGTTTGAGTTCAAACGTGTTGGTCTAGATTATCATGAAAATAACCCCCACCCCCGGTTCCTTACCATAAATATGAGAACTGCTGAGACCAGGTAAGAATTTTAAAATTTAGACCTGAAAAGGGGATTTTGGGCACAAGAAAGTCATAGTCAAAGGTTTTTGCTATGAATTTGTCATCTTGGTTAGTTTCAAAAAGTTGTTTAGTTATTGAAGGAGTGGCGCTAGCCTTATCTGTTCCTTTAAACATGTACTTGATTACAGTGATGGAATGGGAGCATGGGGTTTATGACCAGGGAGTTTCGTTTGGTTGGCTTTGCTCAGTTTTATTGTTTGTATTTTGTCTTTTTTGTACATATGCCCAGAGAATGTCAAGATGGGAGCTTTTTAGGAAATGAAAAAAGTTAACTCATGGCTTTTATCTGAAAGAGGTTTAAAAAATGGCTACATTTTTTATTGCTTTGCTTCTAGGCACCTATAATTTATTTTTAAATTGTGGTCATAAAAGAGAAGGCTAGAACTGAGGCCTGTAAAAGCTCCCTCAAACAGCTCTGGCAATGAACCTCAATTATGACCTCCAACACTTGTGCTGTTTCAGCCCTGAACCCCTCTTAACCAGAAACTGCCAATCATGCAACACAAGATGCTGTTACAAATTATGATTGAAAGAGTATTAGGAAAACATTTCCCTTAAATTTAAATACCCCAGGTAGCAAGTATGGTAGTTTCAAAATTATTCTTCTGATAGAAAATTTACTCGGATTTTTCTTTTTTTTTTAGTTTTGATGGACACAATACCTTCATTTTATTTATCTTTATTTGGTTCTGAGGCTTGAACCCCGTGCCTCACATGTGCTACGTAAGCACTCTACCACTGAGCCACAACTCCAGCCCCAGATTTTTCTTAATTTTGATGACAAACTTTATGCATTAATGAAAACGAGGTTTGTTACACACTAACTACTGACAACTTTCACAGTTAAAAAAAAAAGCAACTATTAAAAAAAAAAAGCTTCTGTTACACACAAACCTAAGCATAATCCAGTACTTAGTTACAAAATATATATCATAAGGATCCTTCAATGAGACCATTAACCATAAAAGAAAGCTTAATGGGTTAAAAAAAAAAAAAAACCAAGGTTTCTACAGCAAAATATTCCTGCTTTTAAATCAGCTCCTTTTACTTTTTTTGTTGTATTTATTAAGTAAGATGCTTGTAAAAGTGATGCTAACTCTTAAAATCACTAAACAGATTTTGGGCAGAGGCTAGTGGCAAGGATGTAATTTTTCAACCGCTGATTTCCCTCATGAAAACAGACAGCACTAAAAGAAAAACCAAGCCATGTTCTTGAACAACATCCTAACAAAATTAGATGACAAGATATCCCTATAAGCCCTAAAATACAAGCAGGTAGAAACAACCAAAGCTATGAGTTCTGCATAGCATCAAAGACTGAAGAAGGATGCAAGCAACAGGTGGATCTGGCAGACCTAAGAACAGGTGACCCAGGAATGCCAACAGGTACTTCTTGGAAAGCACAGCCAGTCAACTTGAGGTCGGCAGCTGAGTCTGAGAAGGTATTCCACTGGCCAGAGTTGAGCAGGTTCCAGGGGCTTGCAGTAAAAAGACCCCAGGGGACTGGAGGCACTATCCTCCTGAAGCCATAGTACTGACCCACCATGGCCCTGCCCAGGCCGGAACAGAAGAGGAGAAACTGAAGGCAGGGACTCGAGATGAGCAGGACAGGCATTAAGCAGGAGAGACAATTTCATATAAAAAAGGAGCAAGAGGAAAACATCGGAGTCAAGTTTCAAAAATTATTAAGAGAAAGAGAATAGACAATTATATTTCTACTATGAAAACATCTCAGAAACATCTCACTACACAGATTAAAACCATAATCAGCTTCAAAATGAGGTAAGAGACTTTAAAAACATGAAAGTGACATTTATCAACAACACAAATCAGAATTATACCTCAGAAATGAGTGAACTCAAGAAAGACTTACATATTTTTAAATATTATTTCAGAGATGAAGAATAAACTTAGAAGGAATATAAGAGGAAATAAATATAATAGATAATGTCTTTATATAAATAGAATTTTTTAAAGGAAAAAGCCGAAATAAACAAAGCAAAAAGATAAAAGAGACTGAAACAAATTCTGAAGGTAGGCAAAGAAGATTGAACAAGTGAATAACAGGAGGCCTTAAAGAAGGCCAAAGCAAACCAACAGGACAAAGCACAAGTAACACTAGAACAAGAAAGCTTTCCATAAAAATTGAGTGGAAGCTACACTGTGCATGTGAGAATAGTGACCCAAATAACCAACACCAAGACACAATCTAGTAAAATTGCTGGACCATGAAAAGAAAACAAACAGGCAAACAAACCAACAAAAACCACCCAAATTCCGGGCATCTAGGGAGCAGAAAAAGAGGTTTGAAAGAAAAAATACAAGCGACACAACATTACCAGAAGATGAAGTACATATTTAAAACATTCAAGAAAACAGGGGTTTTTTTTTACATTCAGCAAAACTGACTCTTAGGTATAAGGACTCACACTGTTATCACAAGATTCTCAGGCAAAAATATTATCATGAACACTTATTAGAAAGCAAGCCTCAGATAACTCAATAAGTATAGAAACACATAGGACTGATGGGGAAATCTTAACTGTCTTCTTTACAGTTTTAACTATAAACCAGGACATGAAGTAGAAGGAGAGTATATAATGCAATCTCAATATTCTGAAATGGGAAGAAAGTGGTACATAATATATATAAATATATATAATATATATTTTATATAATATATATTTATAAAACGCTAAGACAAATATATATGTTATATATAAAATATATATTATATATAAAATATATAACACCACTACATACAACTATAATAATATACCACTAAAAATGTGGGAAAAAAGGGAGAAGATTCCTATATCTTGAAAAAAAAAAAAACAACAAGAAAGAAATGGGAGAGCATACAAGTACTGCAATTTTATTCTTTGACTGATGTGTAGTATGGGATAAAACAAATGAGCATTTATGAGACATTATAATTAAATTATTCCCTGTATGCTTCCAAACCAGAATTATCAATATGGAAGAAACAGTATTCAAATAAAATAAAGAGGATAAGCTGAAGCTCCATACTCCCAAGTGAAGTATCATATAAAGTTCATGAAGTATTTTATCATTATTGAACATGGGTATGTATGTATATACACACATAAAATATATACATATATACACACATATAAAGATATAAGTTAATATGTGTATGTAGACATATTAAGGTATGTGTGTAAACACAATACATACAACTAATTTGATCATTGAAAAGACCCAGAAATAATAAATAAGCTAGTAGTAACAACAATCATTCCTAGCATCTGACTGTGGTCTTGAAACACACTTTCTCTATAAAAGAAATTCAGGTTTTTGGAGAAATAACTGATTCTAGGTTTGGGGCAGAAAATGTACAAATGATCTTGGAACACCTTGTAATAATAGGTAACAAGGAAGTTTTCAAAGATGATTATCCTAGTGCCTGAGATCTCAGGAACTAAAATACTCGTGTCAAATGTTCCAACTGGCCAAAGAAGGGATAGCAGAGCCTTAACCATGATATTAATTGCAATAAATTGAGACCATTAACTGTGCTTGAAAATTTACAATGATGTTATGAAAAGAAAAGATTGGGTGCAGTGGGGCACGCCATAATCCCAACAGCTTGGGAGGCTGGGGCAAAAGGATCTCAGGTTTAAAGCCAACCTTAGCAACTCAGCAAAGCCTTAAGCAACTTAGTGAGACCCTGTCTCAAAATAAAATACAAAATAGGCTGGGGATGTGGCTCAGTGGTTAAGTGCCTCTGGGTTCAATCCTTGGTACAAAAAAAAAAAAAAAAATAGATTGTCTTAATTGATATAGAACCAATTTATTATATTGAACATTGGCAAATAAAGGAATTAAGCATTTTTCCTGCCTTTCCTATACAAATTCTACCATTAGGTAAGCATTAGTAGATAAGGGACAGTATATCTTTAAAAAAGTATTCTAAAAAAAATGGAAATTAGAAGAGCAGAAAATATCATTTTACTATGCTGAATAAATAAACAGATACAGAAATTAAGCATTAAAGGTCGCTAATAACAGAGACAGAGAGAAAAGCAACATTCTATGCCTCCTATCTTCCTGCCAAACATTTAACTCTTGTCTTGCTGAAGGCAATGAACGTAGGCTTGACATAGTCTTGGGAGCCAACTGCTCATTTGCAGAGGACCAAGCCCAAGTGCACTGAGTATGTACATTCAACAAAACGAAGATGGAGGAAAACTTGACAGATGGCCCAGGTTCTGCAACAGATAATTTGTAGGAATTACTAAATTTGTAAATAATTACTATTAAAGTCAGAATAATTGATGTTTATGGAGCAGAAAGGCTGTGATTAGGATGGGGCACATAGAGGGGGTCCTGAGGTAGATGGCAAAGCTCTCTGTTTCCAGGTAGGTGGTCTTCCCTTAATCCTGCCATCCACCTGCTTCCTTATTTGTGTCTCAGTGTAGCATCCTGTTTTTTAGAGCTACTTTTAATTCAATAACCTCTTACAGAACTGTTTGATTGAGCAAAACAATTATTTAAAGAAAAAAAAAACTCAAAATGTGTCTGAAGTTACCTAAAAGTTTATCCATTGATTCATACATCTGCTCTTGATTGGCAACTTTCTCATTTGAAAATTTCATTGGTTTTCTTGGTATAAAAGTGTTAATTTTCTTATGATGCCTAGGCAATTTTGCAGAGAAACTGATTTTGTCTTTTATAGTTTTTGCTGTATGGCTCTGTTTAGAGCCACTGAAGTGGCTGACAGATATACTGTCATCTGATGATGAAAAGTCATCAATAATTTGAGAGTTACTACCCTCATCTGTTGCACACAATTGGTTTGTTTTCTTCATTGTTTTAGGAAAATTGTAAAGTTGTCTTTTGTTTTCCTTTTTCCTCTTAAGCCTCAATCGACTAGTAGATCTTTGTTTTCTTACCCTCATCTTGGGGTACATTTCAATGTCATCAGATTCGTCACTAATATCACCAGTGTCTTGGCTTTTCATAATAGGTTTCAGGGTCCTGTTCTCAGGATTTAAATTTTTTGAAATGAGTCCATGTCTTCTGTCATTAGTCTCTTCACCATCACCATTGTTTCTTATTTTTACAGGGTTTTCTGTTTCAGAATCTTCAGATTCATCTAAGAGTTGCTTACTCCTTACTCGATTGTTAGGGAATCGTGGAGTTGCATATTGTGTGGGAAAGATGACATCACTATCTTCTGATTCTGTGCCATTCTGTATATTGCAATGACGTCCCACCAGATGTGAAGAGTTTTTTTCAACATCAGACTCAGAAGAAGCATTCTGTTCTAATAGTTTCTCACTTTTATCAAAAACACGTTTCTCATTTGAATTTAGGATTTTATCTAATGTCTGGTGTTCTGAAGTACCAACAGTGTCCTGAGTTTTCTGACAACCAGCATCTTTGGCTTCTGCTGGAAGGCAATTGGGCTGCTCATCAGAACTTTCACCACCAGATGCAGTATTTCCCTTGCCATCTTTAACTGCTGTACACTTTGCCTCCAACAGTTTAGAGAAGCCACACTGGAGTAAGGTCAGCTGCCCTGAAGAACCTGCAGCTTTGCTTGCGTCAGATGCTTTGCCGTTAGAAGTCTTTATTCTTGAGGCTCTCACTGACTCGTCATCACTAAAGTCGCTGCAGAGATCACAGGCGTCCACTGCCAGTGGGTCTGCAGGTGGGTCTTGTCCTCTGGGTTCTTGACAATCAGGCTCCCTGGGCTATAGATAAAATGACAACATAATGATACACAAGCTATTGCACTGGAAGGGAATTAAGTTTGCCAGATAATTTCGGTGTAAGTATGCAACTTGGCATTTTAAAAAAGTGTAACATTTAATAAACAAATGTAAAGTATTTAATATTATGGTCTAGTACAGTCTTTTCTCTTTCCAAGTATTAAACTTTCCAAAATAAATAAAAGTTTAAACTAGAGTATCATGTGATCAAATCATTTTTAAGGAAAACAGAGTGGTGTGCTCAGCTTCTAACATACAGGGACTCACAATTCTAGCCTCAAAAGGTAAAAGCACATAACTCATTGTTTAAAAATTACTGGGGTTTACTGAGGTCCAGCAGATTCTTCCAATCATGCTTTAAGAAAAAAAACCTTACAGATAAAGAATTCACAACTGCAAAATGGTTCAAGTTGTTAAAATAAGATAATAAATAAGGTCCAGTAAGATCATTAAAATTGAGAAAGTTTTAGAGTAAAATCTACAACAAATTTAAATCCAATATTTAATTTTTTCTACTTTAATCAGAATTAGTCAGACATCTCAGTCTCCTAAAACTGAGAAGTAAGTGATTTGGGGAAAGTATTATCCAGTGATACTTCTGTTAATATTTGATATTCATATATGTATGTATGTATTTGGTACTGGGGATTGAACTCAGGGACACTTGACCACTGAGCTACATCCATAGCCCTTTTTTGTATTAGAGACAGGGTCTCACTGAGTTGCTCAGCACCTCACTTTTGCTGAGGCTGACTTGTGATCCTCCTGCCTCAGCCTCCCAAGCCATATGCCCAGCTTCACAGGTCTTTAAATTTAAAAAAATATTCACCCTAATTTACTGGGAGAGAATTAACTTTAGGCAGATAACTTTTGTTCAGGTAGATTACTGGGCTGATAAAAACTCATGGTTAAACCTGTAAAAACAAACAAGGATAAATTAGCAACAATGACATAAAAATTTTCCCTTTTCACATATAATTTTTACCTCTCAAAAAGCCTTTTGATGAAAATACAGATTTTTGTGTTATGTGAGATAAGATACTACTAATAAGATCACAAGATCAAAGACTCAAATCAAATCAAATATGTTCTGATTTAAAGAATGATTTTGATATTTGGATTTAATAATCAAACACACATTGATGGCTATTTTTCCATTTAATATGCTATTCAGTAAAAATTATTTATTTGGATTGGGTTGGTCACTTACACAGTACACTTAATTTTGGATTTAACTTAGTTTAGTTAAAATTCCAGTTTAGATGTATATGTCTGATGATGGCTCCTGAATTTGTTAACTTTAAGACACAATATCAAATCAGCTTAAATTATAAATTTAACTGGCAGTTCTCTGACTTAATGTCCTTAATATTAAAAATAAAACAAAACCAAAAAAACTGTGTTTAATGTGATGAAAAATGGAAGAAAAAGGAAATGAAATTTAAAATTGTCACAGTACATGTTTTCTAGGTGTAGGCGGCTACAGACTCAACACTGCCTACCGTTTCTGGGTTGTGTGCTGGAGGTCTCTCTTTCAACCATGTTGTGGCAGTCATGATTCCTGCTTCCACTTGGCCTTCTCTCTGGAATATCAGCAAAAAAGAAAGTAAATAGCTGTGTAAAATAAGGGGTAAAAACAACCAAATAAACAACAGCAATGACAAGTTAAATCTTCAAGCTAGGGCAGGAAAAAAATGCAACTTGCTTTAGCACTCTTAATGCTACTTTCAATTTACTAATTAAAGAACCAATATTCAGTGTAATATAACATCTTAAAATACTCTAGCAGTTTACTTTTTCAGAAGCAGAAAACTAATAATACTTTACAGTGAATGCCATTAAAAGTATTATTAGTCGGGAGGAGGGGGAAAAAAAGCTACCCAAGAATCATAACTGTAATAGCCATTCCTACATAATAATTATAATAAGGAACATACTGGCAACATGTCAAACACCACAGTGTCGAGCACTGGGAACATGATACAACTAGTATATTATATTTACTGGTCATATTTATTAAAAAATATTTATTAGCATTTACGTGTATGAGACATCAAAATGAAAAGGTCATCCTAATATGAAACCAAAAAACTACCTTAATTATATAACAGGCTTTTTGGAAAGTATTTGCACTTTAAAGCATTTGGTATATTTCCCTGTGCCCCCTCCTACATTTGGGACTTAACCCGGGGCCTTGAGCATGCTAGGCAAGTGCTCTACCACTGAGCTACATTCCCAATCCATTGGTGCATCATTTAACAGAGGTATCTAATGGTCTAGATTGCAGAATATTAAATTCTCCTTCTAAAGGAAAATAATTCTTTCTATGTTGGAATAATTTTCAGTTTACAGCTTGCTAGCAGCTATAAGCTAGCAGCTATGAGCAGCTTGAAGTGCTTGAAGAATCTACACTCGTTCAGGCCTGATAGCAACACCTGCAGGATGGGATGCTCTGTTCTAGTGAGCCATTAGTGAAATCACATCCTTAGCACTTGTGGTTAGCGTTGCCAAGCTGCCAGGCCAGGAAACCCATAGTCAGGAGCTTCAGGCATGGAACTCCTAATGTAGAAAGCCCCCTCCCCTAGGGACAAAGACCCTTCCTGATGATAGTAATAATTAGAGCATTCTCATAGTGTGGTTACATTAGGCATAAGATGATTGGCTTACGGATACTATCTTGCTTGTGTATGATTGATGGGCATGCCCACTCAAACCCTATAACAATTGTATGCATTTCAAAAATAAACTGAGCTACTGGATGATGACTTGAGGCTTGTCTGCTCCCAGTTTTCTCACCAACTCCCGGAGTCTACTCCCCGTGACTGAGGTAGCTGAGCAATTAATTGACCACATCAGTGACCAGAAAGACAGCATTTCTAAGGTTGTATTTGTTGATAGAATAAAGGGAAGTAATACTACCATCACCAGAGTTACCAATGCCCAGCTTATAAATAGACAGCATACTAATGGCATATTCCAGCCACCTGGTATCCAGGGAAATGAGTGAGAATCTCCCTACAGAAATCTACTGGGTGATGAACAGTGCCAGATTGTCAGGAATCCTTAGCCCCCCACACCTTGAGGCTACTGTAGCAAGAGGAGGGGAGCCCCCTTCACAGCACAACCATTTATCTCAACAGAAGCTAACAGACTGTAGAGATGCAACTGCAGCATGAGAAACCCTCAGACTGTTGACACTCCTTTCTGATACAGAAATGGCAATTCCAGTGTTCAGACCAGATGCTTGGAGCCACCCTAAACTTCTCTTTTTATTCCTCACATATGTAAGCAAATTCTCTCAGCCCACCTACATAAAATATAGAATCCAACCACTTCTTACGCCATCTGCCACTATCACCCTGGCCTAAGCCTCCATGGTTTCTCAGGAGGATTACTGCAGCATCCTCCTAACAGGTGTCTTGCTTTTGCCTCCTGTAGTCTAATGCTAGTAGACTTTCACAGTGAAGCTGATGTAAATCAGACTATGTCATTTTTCAGTTGAGAACTGTGGGAGACCAACCTTGCATGTGACTGAGTCACACTTCCCGGCTGGGTGCTGAGGCGCTCAGTCACAGAATGTGGCAGAGCTTTCCCCACCCCTCTTGGGTCCGAGGGTTGGTGTCTCGTGCATAGGTGTGTCTTGCTACAGCCCCATGGGTGAAGCTATGCTCACCTGTTCCTTTGTTTAGGATAGAATCTTCCATGGAAGTGCCTTGTGTGTGTCCCCTTCTCTTACTGTGCCCTTGGGTGTGTTCTACCCAGGTGTCAGTCAACCTGCTGACAGTGGACATCATAAAGATAGACTCAGCCCCCTGAAACCTGACCCCCTGCCTCATTTGAATAGCTTCTCCTCAATAAAAGGGGTCAGTGCATGCTCTCGCTGTCTCTCTTCCTGCGGACCCTTAAGGTCAGAGAAGCCGTCAAAGCGACCCCAAAGAAAAAGGTATTTGTGTCTCTTGTGTAGTTATTTTGCACAGCCCAGTCAGCCCAGTTCAACTGGAGTAAACCCTGAGCCTTTTAGCCTTTTACCAGCAGAGAACTCTCCATTGCTTCTGTTTTTCTGGTCTCACTGCTGGGCTTGGCTGGCTCTCTCCTTTACTCCTCAACAGCCTTGGTCGCCCAGCCATTGGAAACCATGCTGGACATACTCCTCCCACAGGGACTCTGCATTTGTTCTCTTGCTCTAAGACCCACATTCCTCCCTCACTTCTTTGGAGATGCAAATGCAACCTTCACAATGAGGGCATCCTTAGCCATCCCAGTCTAAAATTGTGATGCTCTTTCCTTGAAGGTCCCTATTTCCTTTCCCTGCTCTATTTTTATACTTAGAACTTATCATCATATACTGTATCTTTCACTGACTTACTTTGATTATTGTTTGTTTCTGCCAATAGAATGTAAACTTCTTATTCATTTATGTATGTCTAGCTCTAGGAACAGATAGTCAATAAGTATCTGTGAAATGAACTCTCAATATCTGTCTCTAAAGGAAAACCATGAAGAGGAAGGTCAATACAAAATAGAATTAAATTGCCCAGAAAACCTAAGATTAAAAGTGCAATATAATTCAAATTTTTACATCTTAAAATATTTCAAAAGGCCCCCATAATGCAGGCCTTGGAATAATAAAATATCTTTTGGCCAAAAGCACCATGAATCTAACCAGGTCAGAATAATTTAAATTCTGGTTGGTGACAAATAAGTAATCTTAATTCCAAACTTAATTTAATAATCAAATACCAGTGATATGCCAAGTTGTTAAAGATACTTTACCACAAATGAAATGAATTTAATGACAGGATGGCCCTGTCATTAAAAAAAAGAACTTCTGAAGAAAAAACAAGATGCACGCTGGACAACCAGAGAACAAGAGAACTTTCCACTTAATAACTTCTCTTCCTATTTTGTTTTACATACTACTTGTTTAACAAAGGAATAGATGGTGATTCTGACAGGATAAATAATCAAATGCTATTTTTACAGGCAATGATTTTAAATTATAAACATGAATATAGGCATACTGGGTAGTTCTCTGAGATGAAGGGACTATCTAGGGGTAGAGTGGAAAGATGGAGGACAAATAAAAGAAATGGGAATGAAGAAGTCCATGAAAGAAATGGCATATTCAAAAACAAGGGAAAAAAGAAAGAAAAAGAAAAGGGGGGGGGGGAGAAAGAAAAATAACTTTAAATGGGCCATTCAATTCAAAATCAGATAGTTATTATAAAACAAAAACTCAGCAATAAACATCAAACACTGTTTAATAGTTGCAATATTTGCAGGATACAATTAATATATAACTTCTTTTTTTATCCACAGTGGATCTTTTTTTTGGAGGGGGGGGTGTCTTGGGGATTGAACTCAGTGCTCTACTAGTGAGCTACATCCCCAATCCTTTTTGCTTTTTATTTTGAGACAGGGTCTATGTTCCCCAGGTTGGCCTTGAACTCAATAATCTTCCTGCCTCAGACTTCTGTGTCTCTGGGATTACAGGTGTGTACAATGGTCCCAGGTCCACCAGTGATCCTTTTGAACTACCACTGAACTGGCTCAATGTATAGTGACTTATATTATTTATTCATTATGTAAACAATCTCTTCCACCTTTCATCAAGATAGTCAAAGTACCTCAAGGACAAGAACCAATTTTTCCTTAAACTTTATGGTACTGACTAAATGAATACATTAAGATTTTACTACAAAGTCCTGAAATTCTCTGAGATTCAACTTCCTCATCGATGTAGTAAGGAGATTAAAAAAGAAGACTCAGAAAGACTTTATGATACCCATATTAACATTAATTAGAAAATAGACTAATATCCTTAGTACTCCAGCATATTAAAAAACTTAGTTTTTAAGTAGGTATCTCATTTGAAGAATAAGAAACATCTGTATGCAGAAGATGAACATAACTGGGAGAGTTTGAAATATTGGTGTGGAATTTTTATTGGGAACAGAAAACAAAAATCTCCATGAGACAAGAGAGTACATCTCAAGGAGTATGTGGTAACTTCTAATCAAAACATATTTTATAGTTGTGTTTATTCGGGATTTTATTTTATTTTATTAGTTCTTGTCTTGTAAGCAGCTGCTTTCAAAATAACAAACATCTCTCTGCCTGTCTGAAATGGCCTTTGGAATCACACTATCTCAAACATATATTTGTATGTGTGTGTGTGTGTGTGTGCATTATTTACAACTATGCATGAGAAAATCTTTGTCTAGAGGTATACCAGTTTATTTCCTACTTCTCTAAAAGTAGAAATTCTAAACATCGGTATTTTTGATAAGGAAAAACCAAAAGTTTCTCTGAAAATGCACCAATTGTATTTCAAGTTTCCTGTGGGATAAAACTGTAATTAAAATATTATTGAAAGGGTCAAAGAATAATTTCACACCTCCAAGATGTCCCTCGTAAGACAAGATCCTTGGGGTCTTAGTCTGAAGAGATTATAGGTCCCAAAAAGTTCTCCTCGATGCTCTTTTGATCCTTGAACTGCTTCAAAATATCGCTTGGCATTTTCACTTCCAACTACCACACAGTGAAGTTGCTGGAACAACAACAAGAACAATAACAACAAAAAATGCAAGATGTTTTTGAAGTATTTGCTCCAACAATATGTCAGAACTTCCTGGCATTCCATATATATATATATATATATATATATACAGCATTAGCTAGAGCAGGTGGAATCTTGGAATCTCCTTAGGGAGGGAATTTTTTTTCAATTTCCCTGGCAGATGTTGCCATTTTGGTGAGAGAATAATAATTGGCCAGTCTGATTGAAGCAGAGATCTTACATTTCCTCTTTTATCTGTTTTCTAAGAAGTGAGTCAAAATCACATATTTATGTAATATATCCACCTGACATGAATGTTTAATAAAAACATACACTTCAATATATTTTTACTTTTTAAATTCATTTCAAACAGAGACTATTAAAACTGAGAGAAGTAATCACTGTGTCACTAAAATTAAATTATAATCCAAAGTAATACAATAACCATTTGTGTCCAACTGATTGTATCATGATTACATTGTCAACTAACAGCCAAACCTCTATCACTGTTGCAGAAAACAATGTCGAATACAGAAAGAACACTGACATAGGGTCCTTAAGGACATTTACCATTTTAGGATCAATATTCATGTGCACTATATGCTGGATATTTTACTAAATGTTATGTAAATATGTAAACTTAAAATACAACCTGATTAATCCCATGTATACCTTAAAAGTATCTTGGAAGAAACAAATTAAAAAATGTACAGAATGGAAATTAACTTCAGTTTAGGGATGGAGGAATTAGTAAGAAGTGATGCTTAACTTTCATTATTGTCGGAGCTGATCTGCATTGTCATGTTATTCTAGACAACTAAAATTCTTGTAAGACCCACCATTTATTGAACACTTCCTACGTCTACAGCATTTTATTTTACATTCTCTCATATATAACCTCTATAACTTCATAAGATATTATCTCCATTTTAGAAGTAACAAATGTAGAATTTCTCTATTTTATAAATAAAGCAACTTAAGTTTAGAGAAATTGATTTGCCTAGGGGTGTCAGCAAGGTGTCATTGCTAGAATTTGTACATGGGTTTAGCTGAATTGAAAATTGATACTCTCAACAATTTCTCACATAGAGGATTGCTCTTTTAAACAAGGCCTTATGATTTTAGTTTAAAAAGTTATAAATCAACATATCAACTTGATCAGTTCAGTAACAATGGCCCAGAAATGGGAGCTACAATCCTCGGAATATAGATTCACAGTAGCAATTGATAAGACTAATGACCAGCTGTCTCTTTTACCCTTGCTGCTGACTCTACCTTTAACCCTGACATTGTTGGACTATAGGTCTACAAACTACAATTACTAAGAGAAGCTGCAAGCCCTGAGTCTTTGTAATTTTCCTAGCAAAGGTTTAGTCACAAAATTTATTAAAAGTACATTATTTTACATTTAAACTTTAAGTTTTCCAAAGTGGCTTCAGTATAAGTAAAAATCAGGTTTTTCCTTCAGTAGGCTAACCATAAAAATATCATTGTAGAATTCAAGAGGGTAAGGGAAAAAAAACCACAACTAGAAAATGTAGCTTAGATTCTAGCATAAGAAAAATTCACATAAGGTCATAAAATGCTTGGATTTCATCATGACCACAGACAAGATATGCAAGAAAAAAGTTAAAAGGATGTGCTCATGTTAAGAAGTTCAAGGACCCTTCTTTCATTTTCAAAGCCAGCAGCTTTGCTGTATCATCTGTGTCATCTGGTCCCCTGCTTCTGCCTTCACATCTCCCTCTCTGCTATCTCTGACCCTACTGTCTCCTCGTGATTACACTGGGACCACCCCCAAATCCACAGGGATCAGGAGATTAGGAAGTAGACATCTTTGGGGGACCATTATCAGCCTATCACAGTAAATGTATGCAAAAAGAATGACAGGGACATGTCAAATGACACAGAAGCTTCTTTCAACGAATTCCCATTGGCTAGACACAAGATGATTTGAAGATCAAAGTAAATAGCAAAATTCAATGGGTTGAAAATTGTTACTAAAATAGAAACCCATGAATCTACACAGATTAAATAAATATATAGAAGGGGAAACTTTTTTTAATGGCAGAATGCCAAAGAACAAAACTGAAAGAATAATGGAAATAGAGAAATCACACCTGGCTTACATCATAGTGGCAGCTGACTCAGGCAGAAACGAACACAAAGGCTGATGAACACATAGATGGGATATTGGTGTGATTCTGGAGACCTCCCCATGAACTACTTATCAATTAAAATGGTAACAGTGATCACTGTGCAGTGGAGAAACCCACAGGTCACCCCGCTGTGCCTTCTGACTGATGTGATGAGAAGGCACGGCATCCTGTCTGTGGCATTCCTGCCAAGATTCCTGGCTTGAGTCTGGACAAGAAGAAGCTAATGGATCCAGCTAGGTCAAGGGACATCCCACACAAGGAAAGGCTTCCTGTCTGAAACTGTCGTCATGAAAGGCAAGAAAACACCTGAGTAAAAATGTAACCGTGATCCTGGATTGCATCATAAACCAGAAAGGAAAAAGGGGACATCTGGGGAGAGCTAGGAAAACTAAACAGGTCCTAAGGGTTACAAAGTAATGATGCAACAATGTCAGTGATCTGGGTAACTGAAATGAAGAGGGGTGAGTTGTACAAAAATATGTAAAACTGTTTTTAATGCATAAAGCCATTTTTATATGTTCTTCTAATAGGAGAGTGACTTGCTTTTGAGGAAATATACACTGGAGATAAAGTCTGTGACTTTCTCTCAGGTAGGTCAGAAAAAGATAAAAGATAAGATTTAAGAGAAAGAGAAAGCAAATATGTAAAATATTACCAACTGGGGGATTACGGTGAAGTTTGGGGGTTCTTTGTGCTGTTTCTGCAAATACATTTTTAATAACGAGATGAATTTCTGAATGGCAAATTTAGAAAGCATATAATGCTTCAAACCTGAAGAAGTACAGTTGCTATATAAGTGATGTTTTCATTTTTAAAAAAGTATAAAATATCTGAATGCATTATCACAACCAGATGCAAAACAACAACAACAACAAAGACATCAAAGTCAAAGTCCTTCTTGAACAACACAGATCCCCTTACTAGAGTCCTAATGCCAGGTGTAACTCTCTAGATCTCTTTCAATGTAGTTACAGCTATTTCTATAACTATATTAAAATAGTATAATGCATAGATACTATTGATACCTGCATATATTGTCCTGCAAGTTGCTTTTTTGACCTACGTAACAATGTCTCAGAGATGCTGTCACATCATTGCATATGACTTGACATCTTACAGTCTTTTTTTTTTTTTTCTTTTTTTCCTTCTTCTTCTTCTGTTGCAGAGTCGTCTGTGATTTGGGTCTACTAGAATTTTTTTTTAATATTTTATTTTTTAGCTGTAGTTGGACACAACACCTTTATTTCACTTGTTTATTTTTATGTGGTGCTGAGGATCGAACCCAGGGTCTCGCACGTGTGAGGCAAGTGCTCTACTGCTGGGCCACAACCCAGCCCCTGGGTCTACTAGAATTTTTGTTATCATTCCTTTATTGTTGGACACTCAAGCTGTTTCCTTTTTTATTCTTAAACAAACACTAACAGTGCTGAATATGAATCCTTGTCAACCCTTTCTGAGCATTTTTGTCAGGTTAGCCTCTAAAATAAGTGTAATGAGTCGTATTCTCAGCAACAGTATGTGAGTATTCCAACAGCATCAGCACTCTGTCCAGCAACCCTCAAAACAAAACCATAATTTAAAAATGTAGAATGTTTAGGACATGATAATATTTTATTTTGCTTCTTTAGGTGTGTGGTTAGTGTTCCACATGAGCATTATAACTACTTGTATTTTTTCTTCAGAGAAATACCTACTTATAGTCATTTTATGGGTTTTGGAAAATTTTTTTAAAAAATATTCTTTTAGTTGTAGATGGACGTAATACCTTTATTTATTTATTTTTATGTGGTGCTGAGGATTGAACCCAGTGCCTCACACACGAGATGAGTGTTCTATTACTGAGCCACAATCCCAGCCCCTTGAAATTTTAATATTTTGTAGATGCTGTTCGAACTTTACATATGACAAAATTCCATCCTCGTCTCTCTTCTCATTTGGTTTTCAGTTCCTGTGCCGTACAGAAATTTCATACAAACATGTAGTCAACCTTACAAGATTTGCCTTAGAGACTGTGTTAGTTTCTTAGTGCACTGGCTGTCATAAAGTGCTATAAACTGAGAGCTAAGAACAACAGAAATTTATTCTCTCTCAGTTCTGGAGGCTTGAAGTTGGAAATCAAGATGTCTGGGCCTCTTGGAAGGTTCTGGGTATTGGTCCTTCCTTGCAGCCACACGGCTCCTGTTTCTGCCTCCCTTGTCTGTGAGATTAGTATCCAATTCCTCTCTTGGAGGCTTTGTGAAAGATGCTGTGTTTGTGTTCCTGGGAGGCAGTGGTCTGTAATTTTCTGTTCCTGCAATGCCTTTGTCTAGTTTTGATGTCAGAAGTCTTCTTTCTAAAATAAGTCAAAAGCATTCCCTCCTCTGTTTTCACAAAGAATATTAGATGTTTCAAAGAATCCAGCCCTCTAGTCATCTGGACTAGGATCTTTCTTTGTGGGAAAGTTCCAAATTAAAAATTCAATTTCTTTGCACGATATAAAGCTATCATTTTCCCTCACTTGAATTATTGCCTCTAAGTAGCCAGTACCGCTAATAAGAATTTAGTTCTCTATTTAATTCTAGTGTTTATAATACTAGAATTAAATAGAGAACTAATGATTTTTTTGATGATTTTTTTTTCCTCCATATAAGTTTGCCTCTGGAAATTTTAAGAATTTTTCAATTTCTCTTTGAGTGTTTCATGCTTACAGAGAGACGGTGTAAATGCAAATCCATGTCCATTCATTCTATTTAGAACTTGCTGGGCCCACAGAATCCAGATTCTCGTTTTCCACTTTTTCATGTTTCTTACCTTTTTTAAAAATTATATTTTTAGATATAGGTAGACAAACACAATATCTTTATTTTTATGTGGTGCTGAGGACGGAACCCAGTGCCTCAGACATGCAAGGCAAGAGCTCTACCACGGAGTCCCAGCCCCAGTCCCAGTCGTAGCCCCAGTCCCTTTTTAGGGTTTCCTGTCTTTCCCTCTCTTCTCCTCTTAACTCTAAGACTGATGTTCAACTTCTGGATCTAGTCGTTGCATCTCCTCACTTTTGTTACCTATGCTCTATCTTTGTCTCTTTGCTGTATAGTCTAGAACTACTATTTAGCTTTTAGTTTTAGATGGACAATCTGCCTGCTGCTCTGCGTTATAGGTCTGGAGTTTTTCATTTTCTGAATCTCTCTAGTGGATTCTTTTTCTGGTATCCTATTCTTGTTTCTGGGACCCTATAACCTCACTTACCCTTTGGAGATATTATCCATATTTCTCTCAAAGTCTCTTCTTCTATTAATTCTGTTTTCTCTGTTTATTTCCCCTCCCTTCCCCCTCCCCTCTTCTTTTTCTTCTTCCTACCTGTATTAGTTTCTTATGGCTCCTGCTACAAATGATCATAAACTCAATGCCCTTAAACAATAGAAACTTATTCTTTCACGATTCTGAGGCCAGAGGTCTGAAGTCAAGACCCCTGAGCAGAAGCGAGAGTGCTGACAGAGCTGTGCTCCAGCGGGGCTCCAGGTACATACCGTGCCTCTTCCAGCCTCTGCAGGCTGCCACATTCCTCAGGTGGAGGCTGCATCTCTCTAGTGCCTGCCTCTGGTTACACTGCCTTCTCCCTCCTGCCTGTATTCCGTTTTACTCTTCTTTCTTATAAGGACAGTTTTGCATAATCCAGGATAATCTCCCCATCTCAAAATCCTTAAATTGATCACTTATGCAAAGATCCTTTTCTTCCTATAAAGGGCCCAGGATCAGGACTTGTGCGCGTGTGTGTGCACGCGCACTTTCGTTCCTGCATGCCAGGAATTGAACTGAAGAGGTGCTTAACCACTGAACCATATCCCTAAGCCTTTTAATGTTTTTTTGTTTGGTTGGTTGGTTGTTTGTTTTAAATTTTGAGACAGGTTCTTGCTAAGTTGCTTAGGGCCTCAATAAATTGCTGAAGCTGGCTTTGAACTTGTGATCCTCCTATCTCAGCCTCCAGCCTCCTAAACTGCTGGGATTATAGGTGTGCGCCACCATACCTACCTAGGACCTGGTATTTTTGAGGGCTATTATTCAGTTCACTACAGTGCCTTTCTCATGGTGCTTATTTTCCTAAATTGTTCAGTAATTATTTTTGGCTGGCTGCTCATCTGCTTTTAATACCTTACTGCTTATCTCAGCCCCCTGCCATAGTTACTTGAGCAGGGCAGGACAGCGCATGTTTGCTTCTTCTTTCAGCCTGCTCTCTACTGCCTTCTGTCTTTAAGCATCCCTTACAATTTATGGGCCCCTGGGAAAACTCTTTTTGCTTTCCGACATACTTATATTCATTTACTCATTTCGGGATTTTTTTCCCTAAAAGATTTGAAGAACACTTGAGAGGCTACAGTGTGCTCCGTATACACCCTTCCTTCAAACTCCAAACCACCTTTAAAACCTATTTACATTTACGAGATAGTCATCTTTGTATCATACAAGTTCTGAAAAATTACCTTGTCTCTTGAAAACTTTTTATTATATATCATCACATGGCATATATTATGTAATAGGCCATTAAATGAGTCCAGATGAATAAGTAAAAAGGAAATATATAAAATAATGGGTTGAGAAAGATTACCAGATTGACAAGACACTCTCACTGTGACAATATTCTACAGAATAGCTCCTAATTTGAAAAATACCTTACTTTTTCATAATTGTTTAGAAAAAAATAATTTTCAGTAGTTGTGTTATACTGAAGAACAAAAAGATAAACTACTTATAGAGCTAAATGGCTTAAGAAAAAACAAAAACTGCTGTGTACAATTCCATTTATAGAATGAAGAAAACAGCATAAATATAAGATTGGATCATTTTTAGGCTAACTACCACCACATGTGGCAGATGTTTGCTCTTAAATAGATGCCAACTGAACATATAGGGAGCAATTCAAGTTTAATATTTACAATTAAACTTGAACCTCATTCCAGATCTTCTCAAGTGAACAGTTATAAATGAAATAAATATTGTTTAGTTAGAGGTAGAAATGAAGCAGTAAGTGATATCCTGAGCACAATGAAGAGTTAATGCAATTTTAGATAAACACTAAAAGCAATATAGTACAGTAGCTAGTGTGCTTGAGTTCTAGTACTATAATTTCAGTTTCATTCACTATGGTGTGTCTAAAGCAGTGTTCCCCAATCTTCAAGTCACGGCACATACAGAAAAGGGCAACGTGAGCACCTACCTGGCACACACAGAGGAGGTTACTCGAGGCTAGAAGCTTACTTAGGTGCCCTTGCTACCCAGACAATGATGGAATCAACATCTCAGTGTGCTTGTGATCCATCTGTGGTATGCTCTACGTCTTGGCCCAGTTTGGGGAGCTGTGACCTCGATAATCAAATTGTGCTCTGGGGACTAGTAGTATGGGCACTCCTGGGAACTAGTTAAAAATGCATAATCTTGAGCTCTACCCCAGACTTACTAAATCAGAATTTGTATTTTAACAAGATCCCTAGCTGATTCATAAGGACATTAAAGTTTAAGAAGTACTGCTCTAAGAAACTTTCAGTACTAAAATTTAATGAACCCAAGAATGAATCTGTTTCACAGAAGTGTAACCAAGAGCATATTTCATAATCTTATTAAATTCCATATTTTAGAGTAAAATTTAAGGTTATTATAGTAATTTGCTCATAATTTTTGAAAACAGAAAAATGTTTGCTTCTTAATTAGAAGCGGGGAAATATATTTACCTGTTTGTATACCTGTCGTAGATACATGATCTCTTCCACAGTTCCCAAGGATATCAGCCTAAGCACTTTAACATCTCTGCACTGTCCAATCCTGTATGCTCTGTAAGATTAAAAACAAAACCAAAAAAATCACATGAAGCAACTTTGGATTCAAGAGATTGTTTGGGATATAAAAATGGAGCTTTATTAAAATTTTAATTAATTAAAATAAATATTTTGTGTTTAGGTATGTTATATTATTCAGTAATAATGCAAAAACATAAATTCATACAAAAGTCTTACTATTAAGGAGAAAGTATGGTAGGAAAATATACATATCAACTTCATTTTTGTTATATATACCACTGTCTAGTGTCTAAGAACTTCACAAATTCAATATTTTCTTTTATGGCAATTTTTATGAATGGATTGTTCTCAAATAATTTCATTTCTATAAAACTCCTCAAAATGTAAACTAATCCAGAGTGATAGAAAGCTAATTACTGGTTACCTGGGGACAAGGGGATAGGGAGGGACAGAAGGGATTAATTCCAAAAGGATACAAGGGAAATTCTGAGTGTGATGGATGTGTTTATTATCTTGATTGTGGTCGTGGTTCATAGGTGCAGATGCATCAAAACTTACCAATTATATATGTTCAATAAGTCCAGTTTATTGTATGTCCAGTATGCCTTAGTAAAACTATTTAAAAGCAAAAACCATACAAAATAAAATATACCTTGGGGAAAAGCAGTGAATGAGCTGAAAAGTAGGCAAGTGGAGATCTGGAGACCACATCCACAGAGGTATCGGTTCAGAGAAGATTCAGCCCTCTGTTGACTGGTACCCCAGGTATTCAGATATGGACCACAGTGCACTAATTCAGCTCTAACCTGGCTGACCATGGTGGTTAAAACTGTGGTCTGTTCCCTGAAGTGCTTCATAGCAGGCTTTTTCAAATGTTCTGAATGAAGTCACCTGTTCCCAAATCCCTTTTATAATTGCTGAGGGAAACAGGAGCAAGTCCCTACTGCCTATGTGCTTGAAAATGTTACTTTTGGGGGGAAACTAATTTTTCAACTTGTAAGGTCACTGTATCTATTGTTATATTTGATGTTCCCTCTGTCTCCTTCACACAGGGAGAAGATATGAGAAGATACTAGCTAGACAGTATCTTGGGTCCTGCAAATCTCATGTCCCCAGAAGGGAACGAAGGTTCTTGCCTACTCACAGCTGGGGGAAGCTGCCTCAACATGCACAACTATTAATTCCGGTAACCGGACCAGTCAGTGAGGGGATGAGGAAAAGACAGTCACACAAATTGAGATGAAGCTGAGTCTTAGTGATTCACTAAACCTTGATAGGGAAATAGTGACCATGAACCAGCTCAGCATGTTGATCCTATAGGTTTTATCATTAAAAGGGTTGTTGTGAGGTAATTTCTTCAAAGCAAGCCAAACCAATGTCATAAGTATGAACACCTCGATTATGATTACCAGCTTGTGCCCCTAACTTTGTAGCCCTAAGCAGCTGTCTGAACCTCAAGGTAAAGAACTTATAAGCTCATTAAGAACAGAGCTTCATCACAGCACTGAGCGGTCGCCATGGGTGCCTTGGAGCCGAGAGTTTCCAGGAGAGGCATGGCCTCTGTCACAGGAAAGCTCAAGACCCTGATTCAGTCGTTGCTCCTGCTGCTGGGGACAAGGTCTCTCCCATCCTGCAGCCTGGAGAAGAGAAGAGGCTCATAATCCTTCCCACCCTCCCCACAATGTATGTGAGCTCCAAAGAAATCAGAAGGGGATCTAAGATGTCTCTTGGATATGTGCTTAGCCAGCTGTTGCTTAATGAGACAGATTCTCTTGGAATGCATGTCCTTTGATCTTTTGTACAGACAAAACTTTTATGCCTGTTACTTTGTACCTATGCTTCATCAATTTCTTGGCCCACAAAACAAGAATTTGTAAGTGATGGGTCTTTTCCATGTAGAAACAAGTATTGAGGAACAATTATACAATATTTAGGTCAACATCTTCATTTCTCTTCTTGGTTCTTCCTGCCAGAGAGTCAACAGAAGGAAAGGGAAGGGAAGAGGAATTCACTGTGCTTTGAGGAAATAATGATTTAGATAAGATAATAATCTTAATGATCTAGATGAAAAAGTACAAAAATACAATAAATGTCCTAAGAACAAAAGAACAAAGGAGATTTCTCTGTGGTTTTCACATGACCATTTCCTTGACAGATGTCAGTGGAGAGAGAATGATTCACAGCGTCAGCTCTCTGGCCAAGCTGCATGGATTCCGATCCTGACCCTAACACTTACTGAAAAATGCTTTTGTCTTGCATTGTATTAACATTTTGTTTGAGAGTAATATTGAATTTCCTATCATATGTAGAAGTAGTTACTATTTGGAAGTCTGACACCTAATTCTCAGTGTTTCTCAAAGTAGAGCTGAAGACCAATTGTATCATAACTACCTTAAGTATTCTTTTTTAAAATAATGGTAAAGGATACATAAGATTTACCATTTTAACTATTTTTTTAGCATACAGTCCAGTAGTATTACATAAATTCACACTGTTTTATGACCACCATTATCCATCTCTACAAGTTTTCTGTCCTCCCAAACTAAAACTCTATACTTATTACACAGTAACTCTCCATTCATCCCTTCGTAAATTTTAATTTCCATCACTATGAATCTGACCACTCCAGGACCTTATACAGGTGAAATCAAAAAACACTGGTCCTTATTTGTTTGGCTTTCACTTAGCATAATGTTTTCAAGGTTTGTTCATGTTCTAGAATGTATCAGAATTTCATTCCTTTACAAAGCTAATAATATTCCATGATATATACACACCACACTTTGTTTATCTATTCAAAGTGGATTTTGTTTATCCATTCATTTGGGTTGCCTCCATGTTTTAGTTACTATAAACACAGGTGCTATACAAATATCTGTCCAACTCTCTCATTTCAATTCTTTTGGATATGTATCCAGAAAAGAGGTAGTAATGCTAGAGCAGATGGTGACATGTGATTAGTATTTAGGAACCACCACCATACTATTTCCCACAGTGGCTGCCAACACTTTGCATTTCCACCAGTTGCACAAGGGTTCTGACTTCTCCACATTCCCACCAAGACTTGTTGTTACTGTTATTTTTATGAATCTTTTTCAGAGAAATGTCTCTTCAAGTCCTTCACCCATTTTTTATTTGGTTGTTTTATTGTTCTTGTTTAAGACCTGCTTACATATTCTAAATATTAATATTTATCAGATATGCAGTTTTTCCCCATTCTCTGGTTATCTTTTCACTCTGCTGATAATGTCCTTTGGTCTATAACCCTGAGTGATTTTTAAAATGTAAACTTGTAGAGTCTTCTTCTAAACCTACAGAATCACAATACCTAGAGGATGGGGACTAGTCATCTATTTTAGAAAATGTACCAGGTGCCTACTATGACTCATAGTTTTAGTTGTTGCCCCTAAAAATTTTTTTTTGAAATATTTTTTGGCATATATTTTGAGAATTGATTAGGATACTCTGATCTTTCCCCAAGAGGGTAAAAAATTGAACACAATTTTACTCCTCCCCACCACAATCCTCATGTTTTATTGAAATTACATGGAGTTTTAGTTCTAAGTTGTTACTAATATATTTTTGTTTTTTATACCATCCTTTTATGTTCTGGGGAATTCCTTTTTATAATGGTACTAAGCCTCTCAGCCATGCTATCAATAATTTTAGACTTAACCATAATTATCAGAACTTTCTTTGACTATCATATTTTTATATATTTTGGGTTCTCTGTATATAAGTTCATATTTCATTGGCTGCATTAAGCAACATTTTTGGACCATGAGCAATAAATTTTCTGAGTTCCTTGATGTCCAAAGTTGGTTTTTATTTTGTCCTTACATATTGATATGTTGGCCACTGATTGTAACTAAGAGTCAAAATGATTTTCTTTTGAGAGCAAGTCTAGTCAAAAAATAATGATTTTTTCTTTCACATATAGTAAATTTAAATTCATCACTTTTACAACTCTATTTTCATCTAGGATCCTATAATGCAGAGGAAAAGTCTGTTCTTCAAAGCCTGATCTGCAGAAATGAGATTGATTATCATTTATTTGTTAAACTGATTTTTTTTCTTTTTTCTTTGATTTTTATAATTCAGTCTCTCCACCCCCTTACACACACACACATACACACACAAACACACACATATACACACACCACACATACACATACACACACTGGAATATTTTAATCCTTCTCTTTACCCCTGGGACCTAGACATATGCCCAAGATACATATTCTCTCTCTCTTAGATATTATCCCTTTTAGTGTGCTGTGGCCCTTCAAAATCAACAAACTTATTCATTATGTTGTCAGTTATCTCTTCTGACCTCCAGTCTCTTTGTTCTTTATTTCTGATACAGGCAGATGATGGTTTCTGGAATTTTCCCTCAACTTCTGTTAACTCATATTTTATATCTATTTGTTTCTTGACTTTATGTCTTAAAATATCCATTCCTTTTATATTCCAATATTAATTTCCACCATCAGCCCTCTTTATTTCTGAGTCTTTTCATTTTGGCAATAATTTTATTCTCTAAGAACATTTTTTTCCTATATGCTTCCCCCCGCCCCAGTGTTCTATTCTTATTTTAGTCCCTTTGTGTCTGTTTTTTCCATTGGCTCTTTTCTTTCATGAAGCTAGTTTTATGAAGATGCCTCATAATTCCTAATTTCCTACTCATAACTAAAATGAGAAACTAGGGATTGTATTAGGAAGGTGGTCTACCCTGCATAAAACTCAACTCAAAGTGGATCAAGGACCTAGGCTTTAGATCAGAGACCCTGGGCCTATGAGAAGAAAATGTAGGCTCACCTCTCCATCATGTCAGCTTAGGAACCAACTTCCTCAACAAGACTTTGAATGCACAAGTAGTAAAGACAAGAATCAATCAATGGGATGGTATCAAACTAAAAAGCTTCTTCACAGCAAAGAAAAGAGTCAAAAACATGAAGAGACCACCCTACAGAATGGGAAAAGAATTTTGCCATTTGCACCTCAGATAGAGCATTAATCTCCAGGATATATAAAGAACTCAAAAGACTTAACACCAAAAAAACCAAATAGACAACCCAATCAATAAATTGGCAAATGAAGTGAACAGGCACTTAACAGAAGAAAAAAAAATGTTCAACATCTGCAATTAGAAAAAGCAAATTAAAACTACACTGAGATTCTATCTCACTCCAATCAGAATGGCAATTATCAAAAATAGAAGCAACAATAAATGTTGGCGAGGATGTGGGTGAAAGGGTTCACTCATACATCGCTGGTGAGACTACAAATTGATGCAACCACTCTGGAAAGTAGTATGGAAATTTCTCAAAAAACTTGGAATGGAACCACCACTTAACCCAGTTATCCCACTCCCTGGTATATAGCCAAAAAACCTTAAAATCAGCACACTACAGTGATACAGCCACATCAGTGTTTATAGCAGTTCAATTCACAATAGCTAAGCTATGGAACCAACCTAGGTGCCCTTCAGCAAATAAATGGATAAAGAAAATGTGATATATATATATATATATATATATATATATATATATATATATTTATTTATTTACACACACACACACACACAATGTAGTATTATTCATCTACAATGAAGAAGAAATTATGGCATTTGCTAGTAAATGGATGAAAGTGGAGATCATTATGCCAAGTGAAATAAACCGGTCCATAAAACCAAAGGCCAAATGTTCTCTCTGCTATGTGGATACTGACAAACAATAATGGGGCGGGGTGGGGGTGCAGGATAGGAGTTTATTGGATTAGACAAAGGGGAATAAGGGAAGGTGGGGGATGGGAATAGGAAAGACAGTAGAATGAATCAGAGAGAACTTTCCTATGTTCATATATGAATACACAACCAGTGAAAATCCACATCACGTACAACCGTAAGAACTGGATCATAATTAGAATTAGCTATATTTTATATATATATATATCAAAATATACTCTACTGTCATGTATATCTTAAAAAAACAAATTGAAAAACAAGAGAAATGTGATGGAGATTTCCATGCAGGTAACTGCTTTATTGAACTACTTCCCCTTTTAGTGTACTTTGGAGAGACCTGGGATCACTTCAGGCTTGGCTCTACTTCATGATCTGGCTCATTCTAGGAACCTTTCTACAATCGGATCCTCTGCTTATTTATGAGATTATTCTTTCAGAAATAATGAAGGAGGACTTGCTATAGACAACCCTTCTGTAAATATGAAAGGACAATTTGTTTCAGATTCAGCATATTCATTAGTTAACTCCCCAGAAGGACAGACTGTGGTCTACTCCCACATCCTCCAGGTACCAATCCCAGCTTGAGACTTCAAGGTCTTTCCTGCAGACTCTGGACTGGTTTTTCTCTCTTCATTATTTTTGGGGGGCAGTGTGTGTGGTGGGGGCATGTACCTAGGATTAAACTCAGGGGCACTCAACCACTGAGCTGCATCCCTAGCCCTATTTTGTATTTTATTTAGAGATAGGGTCTCACTGAGTTGCTTAGTGCCTCACTAAGTTGCTGAGGCTGGCTTTGAACTCGGGATCCTCCTGCCTCAGTCTCCTGAGCCGCTGGGATTACAGGCATGCAACACCGCACCTGGCTTCTCTTTATTTCTTGATTACGCAGATTCTATTTGCTTTCTATCTTCCAGGAGTTTCTCAAAATTTCTGATCTACAAGTAGTGAAATGTCTTATTTTCCTTTAGTTTAACAGGTTTATTCTTTCTTCTTAAGTCATTTCTGTCATATTAGTAGGATTTTGTGATGGATGGCAAATAAATGGCAATTTATTTGAAATTATTTCAATTAAATAATTCAGGGTTACTTTAAACAGAAGTTCTTACAAAATTCCCTCTCTCTTCTAATCAGTCCTTTCATAAGAAACCTTAAAAGTTTAGGAGTATTTTTAAATTAAAGGAATCTGCCAGTCATTTCAATTTTGCCATTATTATACCTGTCAATAGCTTGAAGATCATTGGCTGGATTCCAAGTTGGATCAAATAATATAACAACATTGGCACCAACAAAGTTGAGGCCGAGTCCACCAGCCCTGGAAGAAACAGAGTAGAAAGCATTAAAACAACACAAACTAATTGTTGTGATGTAACTCAATTTTGTCAAGTCTCTACAGCGAAAACATTACAAGATTACATTAACATCATAAAAGGAGAGTGATTAAAACACAAATATCCTACAAAGAAAATAGCTCTGGCAAATTCTTTTTCTGCCACTTCAAAAAATCTCTGTAAGAATTTATAATTCAAGCCATTTAAATATATTGTGCTAGTTATTACAATTTTTGGATACTTGAATATTATTTCTGTAAGATTTTCCTAGCATAATTTTTTTTAAAAAAATGGTTAGCATATTTTAACTAAATAAAATAATATATATATTTTAAAATTTAATCCAGGAATAGATGTAAATCTTTTTATTCCTTCCACTAAGCTCAGTTTAAGACTCTGGATATTATATGTTAAAAAAACAAACAAACAAACAAAAAACATACACTGAAAGATGGAGAGAAGACAAACAGGCTAGCATCTACAAGATCAAAGAAATGACATAACAGTGAGTTCCTTGGCTTTCTTTTTGCTTAAGATAACCAAAGACAGATTCTGGAGAAGCTAGTAAACTAGAAATGACAACAGTTATAGAAAGAATGCTAGACAATAACCACCCAGCTCTGGCTAAACACAAAGGAACCATCTGTGGTTCATCCCCCTTTAGTGAGCAAAGGCTATGTGAAGGTGCTATAATCTACCCTTGCCTGGCTATGATGGGGTGAGGTGGTAGGGTGGTGTCAGAGAAGAAAGAGTGATGCTGTGATTTTTCCATTTTCTACCCAGTGTTAACAGGTTTGCCCTCCAAGGTGTAAGGGAAGGCCATGTGGGAACAGTAATGAACTGTGGGAACAGTTTCTTCAGTAATGAAGAAACCACCTTCGGGTGTCAGCAGAGGCCACATGGAAACCTGAATTTCCAGCCCTACTTGGCTGGCACAGTGTCAGAGGAGGTGTATTAATATAGGAAATTTAAATATGATATGAAGTCTCATAATATTCAAAGTGTCCAGCCTATAATAAAAAATTCAGTCACTATACCAACAACCAGGAAAACCTCAGCTTGAATGAAAAAAAGAAATCAACACATGAATCGGATGTTGGAATTATCTGACAAGAGTTTTAATGTAGTCATCCTAAGAATGTTTCAATAAGCAATTACAAATATGCTTGAAAAAGTTTTTAAAAATAAAGTCCCAGCAACAAGAAAGAGGACATAAAGAAGAACCAAATAGAAATTTTAGAACTGAAATATAAAACTTGCAGGATGGGCTCAATAGTACAATGGAGATGACAAAGAATAGAATCAGTAAAGGTAAAGACAATGTCATTTCCCAATAACGGAGAGAAAACAGATGGAAAAGTTAACAAAGCCTTAGAGACCTGAGGGAAAAAGAGCTAACACTCATGTCATGGGAGTACCAGGAAGGGAAGAGAATGAGAATGAAAATACTCAAAGAAATATGGCTGAAAACTTCCTACATCTGGCAAAAGATACAAACCCATAGATTCGAAAAGCTGAGTGAATCCAAACAGAATAGGCAAAACAATGACCAGAGAAGAAGAACGCATTGCTTTCAGGGGATACCAATGCAATTTACTGGGCATTTCATCAGCAAGGAAGGAGCCAGAGGAAGTGGCAACATTTTGAAACAGCTGAAAGAGAAGAACTTCAACAGCAAATTCTATATCCAGTGAAAATACCCCCAGAAAGGAAAGAGGAATCATGACATTCTCAGATTAAGGAAACCTACAAAAATTTGCCACCAGACTTAACCTAAAGGAATGGCTAAAGGAAATTCTTTAAAAAGAAAGAAAAGAAAACGGAAGGCAGCTTGGAACTTTAGAAAAAGGAATATCAAAATTGGTAAAAAATGGGTGGATATAAAAAACACTCTATTTCTCATGAGTTTCATAAATCACATTTCATGGTTAAAGCGAAATCACAAGAGAGCAGGCCCAGCGGCCTGCTGAGGGGCAGAGCCGCCCCCCACCCCCCGCGCCTGCCAGGTAGGTGGAACTGTGACCACGGACAGAAAAGGCCCAGTGGCCCGCGGCGGGACAGAGCTTCCAATCACTCCTGCAAGCTAGGCGGGCCTGCGACCCACCGGCAGAAGAGGAGCAGCGGCCTGCTGAGAGGCAGAGCCGCCCCCTCCCTCTGCACCTGCAAGGTAGAGGGAACTGTGACCACGCACAGAGCAGGCCCAGTGGCCTGCTGAGGGGCAGAGCCGCCCCCCACCCCCCGCGCCTGCCAGGTAGGTGGAACTGTGACCACCGACAGAAAAGGCCCAGTGGCCCGCGGCGGGACAGAGCTTCCAATCACTCCTGCAAGGTAGGCGGGCCTGCGACCCACCGGCAGAAGAGGAGCAGCGGCCTGCTGAGAAGCTGAGCCGCCCCCTCCCCTTGCGCCGGCAAAGTAGAGGGAACTGTGACCATGCACAGAGCAGGCCCAGCGGCCTGCTGAGGGGCAGAGCCGCCCCACACCCCCCGCGCCTGCCAGGTAGGGGAACTGTGACCACCGACAGAAAAGGCCCAGTGGCCCGCGGCGGGACAGAGCTTCCAATCACTCCTGCAAGGTAGGCGGGCCTGCGACCCACCGGCAGAAGAGGAGCAGCGGCCTGCTGAGAGGCAGAGCCGCCCCCTCCCCCTGCACCGGCAAGGTAGAGGGAACTGTGACCACGCACAGAGCAGGCCCAGCGGCCTGCTGAGGGGCAGAGCCGCCCCCCACCCCCCGCGCCTGCCAGGTAGGGGAACTGTGACCATCGACAGAAAAGGCCCAGTGGCCCGCGGCGGGACAGAGCTTCCAATCACTCCTGCAAGGTAGGCGGGCCTGCGACCCACCGGCAGAAGAGGAGCAGCGGCCTGCTGAGAGGGAGAGCCGCCCCCTCCCCCTGCACCGGCAAGGTAGAGGGAACTGTGACCACGCACAGAGCAGGCCCAGCGGCCTGCTGAGGGGCAGAGCCGCCCCCCACCCCCCGCGCCTGCCAGGTAGGTGGAACGGTGACCACCGACAGAAAAGGCCCAGTGGCCCGCGGCGGGACAGAGCTTCCAATCACTCCTGCAAGGTAGGCGGGCCTGCGACCCACCGGCAGAAGAGGAGCAGCGGCCTGCTGAGAGGCTGAGCCGCCCCCTCCCCTTGCGCCGGCAAAGTAGAGGGAACTGTGACCATGCACAGAGCAGGCCCAGCGGCCTGCTGAGGGGCAGAGCCGCCCCCCACCCCCCGCGCCTGCCAGGTAGGCGGAACTGTGACCACTGACAGAAAAGGCCCAGTGGCCCGCGGAGGGGCAGAGCTTCCAATCACTCCTGCAAGGTAGGCGGGCCTGCGACCCACTGGCAGAAGAGGAGAAGCGGCCTGCTGAGAGGGAGAGCCGCCCCCTCCCCCCCGCGCCTGCAAGGTAGACGGAACTGTGACCATGCACAGAGCAGGCCAGACCTGCAACCGAGAGACAGAACAGGCCCAGTGGCTTGAGGAAGGGTAGAGCCGCCCCCCCCCCCCCGCGCCTGCAAGGTAGGCGGACCTGCGACCCACTGGCAGTACAGCCCCAGAGGCCTGTAGAGGGGCAGTGCCGCTGCCTGCGCCTGCAAAGTACACAGAACTGCGACCACCGACAGAACAAGCCTAGCGGCCCGCAGAGGGACAGAGCCGCCGCCCGCGCCTGCAAGGTCGGCGGACCTGCTACCGACCGGCAGAGCAGGCCCAGCGGCCTGCCGGCGTGGTAGGCACATTGCCCCAATTGGAGGAGGGGCAGAGCCGCCGCCCGCGCCTGCGAGGGAGACTTTGCAACTATACAAGACCAATATAAATATATAGGGGGAAAATTCAATAGCACAACAGTTTCACCAAGTAGAAAGGAACGCGAACAGTATGAAGAGACAAGGAAAGAAAGGACCACAAGCATTGCAGGTCAACTCAACGTTAGAAGAGGTAATAGCTGCAGCAGATGGAATGTCAGATAAAGAATTCAGGATATACATGCTTCAGATGATCTGGAGTCTCAAGGAAGACATCAGACAGCAAAATCAGACAATGAAAGATCACTTCAACAATGAATTACATAAACAAATCCAAGAAGCAAAAGATCAACTATACAGGGAAATAGAGGTTATAAAAAACAAACAAACAGAAATCCTAGAAATGCAGGAAGCAATAAGCCAACTTAAAAACTCAATTGAGAATACTACCAGCAGAGTAGAACACTTAGAAGACAGAACATCAGACAATGAAGATAAAGTATTTCAACTTGAAAAGAACATGGACAGCTCAGCAAGACTGTTAAGAAACCATGAGCAGAACATCCAAGAAATATGGGATAACATCAAGAGACCAAATTTAAGAGTCATTGGGACACAGGAAGGGACAGAGTTTCAAACCAAAGGAATGAGCATTCTATTCAATGAAATAATACGAGAAAACTTCCCAGACTTGAAGAATGAGACAGAATCCCAAATCCTAGAAGCTTACAGGATGCCAAATACGCAAAATCATAAGAGATCCACACCTAGACATATTATAATGAAGATGCCCAACATACAGAATAAGGAGAGAATTTTAAAAGCTACAAGAGAAAGGAAGCAGATTACATTTAGGGGTAAACCAATCAGGATAACAGCTGATGTTTCAACACAGACTCTGAAAGCTAGGAGATCCTGGAATAACATTTTTCAAACACTGAAAGAAAATGGGTTCCAACCAAGAATTGTGTTTCCAGCGAAATTAAGCTTCAGGATGGAAGATGAAATTAAAACCTTTCACAATAAACAAAAGTTAAAAGAAATTGCAGCTACAAAACCATCTCTTCAAAACATCCTTGGCAAAACATTACAGGAAGAGGAAATGGAAAATAACAATGAAAACCAACAGTGGGAGGTAGGACAGTAAAGGGGGGAAAATAATCAAAGAGAAAAACAAACCATGTTTAGTAACATAAATAAACAAATATGGCTGGAAGAACAACCCATATCTCAATAATAACCCTAAATTTTAATGG